TCTTTATTCCTTTGTAGTGCATTTATTTGTTGAACTAAAAAAAATATACGTGTATTTTTGAAATAATATGTAGTAAATTACTTGTAGTATGAGCACATAGTACAAAACTTACTTTTTTTGGAATGATGATATAATAGATATTTTTTATTAATAGACATAGGTTTGTTACATACGAAATAATATATAACTTTTCCATCTAATAAAAATACTTCTTTATTTTTATTGTAAGGAGCAATCAATTTCAAAATTTTACTTTTTAAAGTTGATTTTATTTTCGGTATTACGTCGAATATGTTCACTGTGCGGTCAAACTGATCAAAGAAATAGGCACTAAGGTACCAACAGGTAAACGCACACGAATCGCTGTACTACTATGCTGAATTTAATTATCGCCATATATATATATATATACGATTATAGCTCGCTGGTCTCTACAAGTTTCTAGAAAATCCCAGACGAACGATAAACGCCTATAATTTGAGAACGTGGGGAAATTGTAAAAATTGCAAAAACGTGGAAAATTGTATTATAAAATTAAATAGGCAGAATATTTTTAGTATATATCGACTGCATATTTAACCAGATCTGATTTATCTTTATTGCAAAAAAAGTTGCAATATCAATTAAATCCGGTCTTTACTTATAACTAAGGACAAACGTGGACTTGTCGCATTATTATACACACATTGGAAACATTTTCTATGTAACCAGATTTCATAACGTCGATGTACATTAGTATTTTTTTTTTCATCCCAAGTACCTTATACTAGATTATTCTTACCTACTTTTTATAATTATTCTATCTTATTTGCCACTACAATATATTCGTTTATAAAAAAAAATATATTTTAAATCCAATCAAAACGATTCAATAATTAAATGTTCAAAATAAAATTTCAATTTTTTCGAATATACGTTATTATTTGAATAAGTCAATCTCTTTTTCTACTTGAACTATTTCTCGAGATTTATATCGTTTTAACAAATTATCTACACATCAAAATATCATATACACACGATTTTATAATTTAGATTCACAGAACAAACATCAATATGCTTTACTTATCAATACATATTATATACTAGACAGTCTTTGTATAAATATTAATAATCGAATAACTAAATAAGAAATTTTTAAACTAAAAAAAAAAATAATAATAACAATAGTATTTGAATTCAAATCTTGATTATACAAATAATATAATATTAGAAGCGATCTCTAATTTTCTAATTTCATCAAATTTACACTACAATATTTAAAAAAAAAAGACGTCTTAGGATAATAGAGACGGGTGTAGCTACTGTTATAGATAATTTCCTTTTCGACATTCATTTCGATTTTCCGATGTTTTTTCCCGATTTTTCACATTTGTTGCTAAAATTCTTGAGAAAATTGAAAAATTACCTCCCTAAAGTACCTCCTCAATCGAATTTCCTATAAAAAACATTACTATCATTATAAATTAGAGCAAAATTGCTAGTAGAAAAGTTGTCCATAAAAAAAAATCTTTATGAAACCATAGCTTCTTCGCTCCATAGTGGAGTGAGAGATAAAATCCATATTTTATAACTATCAAAAACCGTTATTTTTTATGCAAATACACAGATAGCTCACGAGTATACAAAAAAATCTAATAGCCGTAATTAGTACTAGAGTTCTCAAAAGATGGCATTAGCAACATCAATATTCAAGAAATAATTATAATCCTAAATAGATATGCAGTGAAATTATTAGAGGACTGCAGGGGATCACGTTAGTAAGCTGACCGTCATGATCAATTCCCAGTTTGGACTTTGGATAAAAGTCTACGATAAAAAACAACCTTTTCTCACCTGTCATATAATTATTAGTTATAATATTACAGCGCTATAGTAACAGCAGTTGTCACTTTTTCTTTTATTGTTTATAATAAATGTGTAAAATATTACATTTTCATGTTTTCTTAGTTTTTTTTTTTGTCAATAAAATATTTGTATCTAATAACAACGCTTCTCATACATTTCTCTAGCCAATGGCATGCGGGGCGAAGGAAGGTTAGAGGTCATACCTCCTCCTCCTGTACATTACAATGTAACATCATCTTACGGCAATTATAATAAATGTTCAAAATGATGTCCTCCAACTTTAAAAACTGCTCCACAACGTTTTACTACCGCGTTTGTGGCATTGTAAAGATACGAATAATCGGTGCTCAAAATTTGGAATTCTTCCTCGATTTGCCTTTTTAAATGGATCAAATTTTGGATTGACGTCTTGTAAACTCCCCACATTCTGAAATCACAAGGTGTGAGATCGGGTAATCTTGGCGGCCATTCTGTCGTCCCACGGCGACCAATCCACTCGTTGAAGTTTTTATTCAAAAAAATCACGAACCATAACTGCATGAAACTGCGTTTAATAGGTTATTGTAACAGTGAATTCAAATAGATTTGCTATGCGTCAGGCACGTATTCAGGATCAATTTTCGGGGGGGGGTTAAAATATTTTTAATGAAATAAATTATACATAGAGTTTGTAGTTAGTCTTTGTTATATTATAAATATATACCTACTATAAAAATTTCGGGGGGTGTTTGAACCCCTAAACCACCCCCTGGATATGGGCTTGGTTGTACGTAAACAAGATAACGAGACCAAAGTTGCAATATGACGTAACGGAAACGACGTGGAGGGAGAAACTGCGCCGTAACGCGCGTTCCATACTAGACGGTAGGCATTGCGCGACTTTTGGTCTCCTCTGTATAATGATTAACAAAACTGTTCATATTAACTTAAATTAATAAAAACTAAATCAAATTAGTCTAATCAACTCAATAAGAAATAATTAATTTACATTTTAATCAAACGCAAGAATGTTACTAGTTTTACAATTTAAATGGATATTTATTAATAACTTTTATGTTAAAACCTCTAAATTTATTAGTGTCACTATCTTTAAAAATTAATACCTATCCAAAAACATTGTTTATATATTTTTTATTGAAAATACTCAAATTTAGGTCATACAAGTCTCATAGGATTTATTTTTTTTGTGTTGATATTTTAACTATACCTTTATCTGGCGAAATAGATACTTCTTTATAGGCAGTCAACAAAGTTAATCAGTTTAGCCAATATTCAATTATAACGTGAATAGTTTTAAAAGAGTCTGTTAAACGTATAAGTTTATAGATATAATGCTTTATTAGGTTTATTTTTTAATTTCTCACGCTTCTCAATTTTGAAAATTTCTCACTAAATTTAATGTACCCATTTAAGTTTCCTAAACTCTGGGGACCTGAGCATAGCAACATCATAGGCTTTGATAAGGTGTGAAAATAAAATCTAAAGATGATGTCACTTATGAATATTCATGCATAGTTACAAATATAAAAATAAAACTGATAAACAAATCTCAAAATGACATTCTTTTAATTTATTTTTTATAACTAATTTGTGCATCCCAAAATCTATAGCAGTTTATTTAAATTTTATTAAATAGAAGAACTGCAGAATTTATTATTATTATATTATAATAATATATAATTAAATAATTACAAATTATTTATATTCTATAAAGTTTGACCAATTAATTATTAACCTATTTGTTTATTTAGTTAAATATTAAATTCTTGTACTGATTAAAACAAAAAATGTAAAAACAAATTTTGTGTGAACTAAAATCTTTATTATAATTATTAAGCAATAAAGCAATCTACATAAAGAATTAATATGATATATTATGAACAATACTAACAAACCAAATCAAATAAATAAATAAAAAATGTTAAAATGTTTGGTACACCTTTGAGACTTAACATGATTTACAATATCCTTAATGAAGCACTTCACATGCAAATTGCCTCCTATGTAATGTACTTTTAAATTTAATAGTTTTCTAAATATTACACCACACATCCATGTTATCAAATGTATTGACATTGATGAGAAAAACAAGTTACTAATTTTATTTTACATTAATTTTCCTTTGTCTTTCATTCATATTTTTCTTTCAGAACAGAAAATTGCTTTAAACATTGTACCAGAAATTTTCATAGTATCTAAGCATATTAATGATATAATGTTATTTGTTATTTATTATTTTATTTCATAAATTCCTTAAATGCTTTTGGAAAGAAATATTCAAGTATAGTGTTTAGATTTATTTAAAATTAATTACCATAAGAATTATATCATCACACAATAAGTGTGAATTAGTACCTAAATTGTGTTTTTTTTTGTTTCTCTATTTTAGCTGATTCCTAATTATTTACTTATTTAACTAATATATAATATGTATACTTAGTAAATTAAATTAAATCTATAACCATATCTGTATATTTAATAACTAAAAACCCCTTGCATTTTTTTTTTTAAATATTGCATTTAATATGTGTTTATCTTAGTATTTTATGAATATTTTGTTGATAATATAATTTGTATGTACAATAATCAAATAGTTTGAAAAGAAAATTAATTGGATTATGTAATATTGTAGTTTTTATTTTATTTTTGAATATAATTTATAAATACACTATTTTAACTATATAGGTAAACTTATTATCTATACTTATATCTAATACAGGTAATGTATTTGAATATTTACTAAACAAATTATTGATTATTTATATTGGTTTTATATTAAGATAATAATATAATTTAAGGTTCCATTTACATTTAAATTAAATAAAGAAAATTGTATTTCTTAGAAAATTAAAAAAAAAAAATAATTTCACAACAGTATTTAAACAGAAAAAGTTTTAATGTTTGCAGTTTTGTTACCTAAGTATATTATTAAAAACACATTAAAAATTTATAATTTTACATTTGATTAATGTTCATGCAGAGTGTATGAATTATAATGTGTTATTATATTAAAAAAACAGAACAATTATTACAAGTGTGTTTAAACTTATATTCCTTGTCTGATACAAACATACAATATACAAAAAAGCTTAAATACAATACAATACATATGAAATTTGATATATTATCAATATATGTACCTATACCAACATTAATTATATAAAGGAAATCAATAAAAAAAAACATATACTATTAAGCTTCTTAGTTCGATCTCCACGACACTTGGGGCAAAACCATTTTCCTTTCGGTTTTGTTGATAATGAAACGCAAGAAAAATGAAACCATTCTAATGGACACAAATCATTATCACAACATATCATCTCACCATAAGATATCTGATCGCAAAGACAGTATGTTGGTTCATAGGGATCGACTGGTATTTCTTCATCGTCTGTTTGGGGTGAATTATCCATTCCTTGTTTCTTATTTTTGCGCTTTTGTTTAGTTTGTTTTTCAATATCGACTGGTATTTCTTTATCATTATCCGTTGAGGGAGAATCATATTTTTGTTGTTTCTTATATTTGCACATCCGTATAGGTTGTTCTTCAACATCGACTGATATTATTTCATCATTGTCCGTTGAGGGGGAAACATTAATTTGTTTTTTTTTATATTTGCGCTTCATATTAGTTAGTTCATCAGGATTGACTAGTATTTCTTCTTCATTGTCCGTTGAGGGTAAATTATCCTTCTGTTGTTTTTTATATTTGCGATTCTGTTTAATTTGTTTTTTAAAATTGACTGGTATTTCTTCATCATAGTCCGATGAGGGAGAATCACACTTTCTTTGTTTCTTATACTTGTGCTTCATTTTGGTTCGTTTTTCACGATCGACAGGTATTTCGTTATCATCGTCCGTTGAGGTTGTATTATCCTTCCGTTGTTTCTTATATTTGTGTTTCCGTATAGTTTGTTTTTCAACGTCGACTGGTATTTCTTCATCATTGTCCGATGAAGGAAAATCATACTTTCTTTGTTTCTTATACTTGTGCTTCTTTTTGGTTCGTTTTTCATGATCGACAGGTATTTCTTTATCATCGTCCGTTGAGGGAAAATTATATTTCTGTTGTTTCTTATGTTTGCGCCTCTGTTTAATTTGTTTTCCAACATCGACTGGTATTTCTTCATCATTGTCTGATAAGAGAGAATCATACTTTTTTTGTTTCTTATACTTGTGCTTCTGTTTAGTTTGTTTTTCAAAATCAACTGGTATTTCTTTATTATTGTCCGATGAGAGAAAATCATACTTTTGTTGTTTCTTATACTTGCGCTTCTTTTTGGTTCGTTTTTCACGATCGACAGGTATTTCTTTATCATCGTCCGTTGAGGGAGAATTATATTTCTGATTCTTCTTAAATTTGAGTTTCTTTTTAGTTGATTTTTCTGTTTTCTGAGTAGTTTGTTTACATGTCACTTGAGATTGTAATTGTGCTGTCGCAGTGGTTCTTGGTAAAGGAGTAGGTCGATTTAATGAAGAATTTACAACTTCATCATCAGAATTTTCTTTATAATCTGGGTCATCGGTTCTGTTCCGTTGTGGTCGTTTTGATAATTGTATACCATTGTTTGGTTCACTATCAGTGTTGCGGTTTTTTAGTTCTTTTGTTGCAATACTAGTACTTGCACTAGGTAGGCGTCGTTCTTTTGAACAACTACTTGTTTTCTGTTTATCTTTAATACGTAGCTTGGGAACTTCGGGTTCTTTTAATGAGGTCAAATATTCCTTCTTACCGTTTTCTAAACGCATAAGCTTATCTTCGACTAGGCTAGATGTTTTTTGCATAGTTAGAATTTTTCTATCCCCTATATCTAATCCAGTCACCAATAAATTTGACAATTTCGCAACATTCGCTGACGATAAATTACCTTTAAAGCTTTGTGTTAAGTTATTTACTTTTGTCATCATTTGTTGGAATTCCAGATCAAAATTTCGCATTTGTGTAACGTGACGCTGTATATCCAATGGTAGGTCTTGTGTACAGTCAACATATTCATTATATAACTTCATTGCTGTATTCTGTCGATTCGTCATTTTCTTAAATTTTTTAACAGAATGTATAAACTCAAAAGCTAGTTTCTGAGGCAGATTTATCAAATAAAAAATTATTGTATAACTTGTACTTTCTTCTGTAAAAATTATTAATATTTGAAAAATTTTATTCTCAGAAACCTAAACGAAACACATGTCTTACAACACAAAACATAACAACACAATTTAATGATAATAATATTGATAAGATGATAGCTAATCAGCAATGTGATTTGTGATAGGGTCATATTACACTGTAAATTAAACGAGTACTGCATACTACTGTAATGCAGTTGGTACTTTTGGTTGTTTTAATTTTGTTTCTCAAAGATAATAAAGAAATGAATATGCTATAAAAACTATAAAAACGATTTTAAGTGTAGCCATGTTTCAGAAATTGCGGTTTATTGTGGTCTTCATATTCATCGATAGTTGTTATCTAAGGAATATACACAAGAGCAACATTTTTTCGAAGTAGTGTTTGCTAATAATGCTTGTCTTTTGCACAATTATGCTTTTTATCTGCTCGATATTATCTTAAATCCCATTATCATTGCATTGTCAATTTTTTTTTAAATTTATTGTCTACATCACGGACGTATTTAAAATTGGCTTATAATTATAAAGAAGATGAAAATTTGTATTTTAAGAGCCTTAAATGTAAACTAGTTTGTATACGCTATTATGATTTTCTCAATTTATACTTGATTGACTGATTAGACTGATTTGCTCTTGTGTATATTTTATAGATAACAACTATTGATAAATATAAAGATAATAAAATGCAATGTTAAATGATTAATTCTAATAGTAAATTTATCTCTTGGAATATCGATAAACTTTTTTAGAGTACCTGTTAAACAACTCAAAGTAATATCGAAGTGTTTTAAATTCGGAGTATTGTAATGCTATTGCTTCGACGGAGTAGTAGATACTCGAAGTAGTTGACTCCCGTGACAGTGGTTGTATTTTTAGAAAAAACCATAGATAATAAAGACATGGAAAAACTAGAGTTCCTTGATAGGCTATCCTTTGAATATAGGTTTCTCGAGAGGAACGAATACAGTAAGTAATAAATAGTTTCATAAATTGAATCTGCTTATTATAGTGATGAATAATAAATCGCTTTAATAAACCACAATTCCTAAAACATGGCCACACTTAAAATCGTTTTAATAGTAGTCTATTCATTTCTTTATTATCTTTGAGAAACAAAATTAATACAACCAAAAGTACCAACTGCAGTACAGTGGTATGTAGTCCCCGTTAAATTCACGGTATAATATAACCCTATCATAAATCACATTGCTGATTAGCTATCATCTTATCAATATTAATATCATTAAATCGTGTTGTTATGTTTTGTGTTGTATGACAACAATATTTCGTTTAGGTTTCTGAGAATAAAATTTTTCAAATATTAATAATTTTTACAGAAGAAAGTACAAGTTATACAATAATTTCTTATTTGATAAAACTGTCTCAAAAACTACCTATTGAGGTTTGTGGTTTATACATTCTGTCAAAAAANAAGACCTACCTTTGGATATACAGCGTCACGTTACACAAATGCGAAATTTTGATCTGGAATTCCAACAAATGATGACAAAAGTAAATAACTTAACACAAAGCTTTAAAGGTAATTTATCGTCAGCGAATGTTGCGAAATTGTCAAATTTATTGGTGACTGGATTAGATATAGGGGATAGAAAAATTCTAACTATGCAAAAAACATCTAGCCTAGTCGAAGATAAGCTTATGCGTTTAGAAATCAGTAAGAAGGAATATTTGACCTCAATAAAAGAACCCAAAGTTCCCAACCTACGTATTAAAGATAAACAGAAAACAAGTAGTTGTTCAAAAGAACGACGCTTACCTAGTGAAAGTACTAGTACTGCAACAAAAGAACTAAAAAACCGCAACATTGATAGTGAACCCAACAATGGTTTACAAATATCAAAACGACCACAACGGAACAAAACCAATGACCCAGATTATACAGTAATTTCTGATAATGTAGTTGTAAATTCTTCGTTAAATCGACATACTCCTTTACCGAGGGCCACTGCGACAGCACAATTACAATCTCAAGTGACATTTAAACAAACAACTCAGAAAACAGAAAAATCAACTAAAAAGAAACTCAAATTTAAGAAAAACCAGAAATATAATTCTCCCTCAACGGACGATGATAAAGAAATAACTGTCGATCTTGAAAAACGAACCAAAATGAAGCGCAAATATAAAAAACAAGAAAAATATGATTCTCCGTCATCAGGCAATGATGAAGAAATACCAGTTGATTTTGAAAAACAAACTAAACAGAAGCGCAAATATAGGATACAAAGGAAAGATAATCCACCTTTAACGAACGATAATAATGAAATACCTATCGTTTCTGAAAACCCAACTAAAATGTTGTGCAAATATAAAAGAAAACAAATTGTTACTTCCCCTTCAACGAACAATGATGAAAAAATACCAGTCGATCGTGTAAAACAACCTATACGGATGTGCAAATATAAGAAACAACAAAAATATGATACTTCTTCAATGGACAATGACAAAGAAATACCAGTCGATATTGAAAAACAAACTAAACAAAAGCGCAAATATAAAAAACAAGGAAAGGATAATTCACCCCAAACAGACGATAAAGAAATACTTGTTGATCCCGATGAACCAACATACTGTCTTTGCGATCAGATATCTTATGGTGAGATGATATGTTGTGATAATGATTTGTGTCCATTAGAATGGTTTCATTTTTCTTGCGTTTCATTATCAACAAAACCGAAAGGAAAATGGTTTTGCCCCAAGTGTCGTGGAGATCGAACTAATATAATGAAACCTAAAGCACAGTTTCTTAAAGAATTAGAACTTTACAATAAAGAAAAAGAAGCTTAAGTTTCTACTATTAATAGTATATGTTTTTTTTTATTGATTTCCTTTATATAATTAATGTTGGTATAGGTACATTTATTGAAAATATATCAAATTTCATATGTATTGTATTGTATTTAAGCTTTTTTGTATATTGTATGTTTGTATCAGACAAGGAATATAA